CTTAAAATGCTTTCAAAATTAAATAAATTATTTATTAAGGATAATAAATTATATAAAATTATTGTTTACAGAAAATTACTTTCATGTAAAGGAATTTTGTACATGTTATCTTACTTATATGTAAGCAGTTTTGATAATGCAGTTATTGTATATAAGTAATTCAATAGGTATGGTCAAACAATATCGTAGATCTTCCTGAATGAAATGGTTTTTCAGATTTCCCCTGCAATGTTTGCAAATAATTAATTGTTATGAAAATAGCTTAGTAAATTCGAATACATTTTCTTTAAGAAACAAGTTATATATTCTAATTGTAAACCAGAGCCTGTTAATTATTATTTACTATTTAACTACTATTACAATTTCTAAATCAGCTTAAAAATAAGTTTATTGCTCTGTTTATTGACATTGCTGATAAGAATTTAATTCAATTGAATAATCTTATAGTAAGTTATGTAATAAATAAATTTTGTATATAATAAATATTTGAGTTCTGGATCAGATAGCAGCAAAAAGCATCCAGGTTAAAAAATTATCTTTAAATCACGATACATGATAGTAAGTATCTATTATCTGGAGTTTTCTGAATGATGTAATTTTAATTGTTAGTCACTCTATTGATAACTTAACTCAAATTGCTAGATACTTTAGTTGACTTAAAAATTGAACAAAATTATTTCAATATATATAAATATATATATATATGGAAAAATTTCAAAATTAGCTGATTTATTAGAGAAAAGAATTAGGTGATAGTTGTTAAAAACGAGTTTGAATGCAACAAATAGAAGATTTCTAAAAGAAAAACCATCAGCCAGGAGAAGTGCAGAAAGCAATTTTCCTTGGTCACTGAATGGCGAAAGGATGGTATATTTGTGTTCTTTTGTGACTAAGCCGAAAAGTGAAGTAAATAGATAGGCATTGACAATAGCAACTTATCTTGTTTGAAAAATACTTGGAATTTATTTCCATTCACTAAACGCCGCAATTATTTGTAACCATTTGGTAGTACTCTCATATGATTAGAAGGTAAAGTCTGTAATTGAGTGCAGGTAGTTAAATAGAATTGACAATACGCTCATTTGCAATGATAAATTTAACCCAATCAATGGTTTATTCAAATAAATATTTTAATTTAATAGCAATTTTAAAAGTTAACCTCTAATCTCAGAAAATAAAAACAAACCCACCAGCTAAAAAGTACCACACCTTATTTAAACGTTAATTTTTGTGTCTGATTTGGTACTATTCTAAAAACAGTATTATAGCTGAATTATCCGATATTTATTTGTTTTGTCACCATAAATGAATTTAATACTGTAAAGAGCAGTAAACTATTTTCATGTTTCAATATATTTCAGACATTTTATGTTGAGCAAAATATGGCTTTAAAGGTGTAGCATATTTATGGATAAAACCAGACATCAATCAAAATAGTTCAGATTGATTCAGATTCATACATTTCATCTACATGCATTTCAAAAAAAATTATTTAGATATACTCTTAAATAATACCAAAGATACCACCCACGAGAAATCTAGGTTTCCTAATTATTTAAAAATATATATATAGTATATACATATATATATAATTTTTTTTCACCCCTTTGATGTTTGATGAGTATGACATAAAAGAGAAATAGCTAACATGCGCCCATTTTCGTTACGCGAAACGGAAAAACTTCTAAATTAATATAAATGAAGGAACTCATTATTTATTATTTAAAAAGCTTATATTACATTACGTAAGAAAAGAAATTATTTAATTTAAGTAAATTTTATTTGTTAAACAATTTTATTTGTTTCGGCGGCAGGATTAATTTGATAGATCAATGAATAAAAATATTTCATTTAAAATAGTACGAACTCTGTAAAAAATGCTGTTTTTTTTTAAAATTTTTTTATAAATAATATTAAAAAAAAAGAAAAGTATTACAATTTCCTTTTTTCAGTTGATTTTTAAATCTTTACTAACAAGTGGTAAAAAAATTCAATTACTGCAAAAAACTTGGTTAACATTATGATATTCCTTACTTAAAATTGTAGTCATAATCTCATAAGTTCTAAAAATATGATGTAAAGCCGTTGCGGCTCAGGATGTAGAACATTCGCCTTTCGATGAGGGGAACCAGGTTCGAATTCCAGGGATGGATAATCATACTTTCATACTATGGGTAGTCATCGGCTTCTTACAGTAATTTATAAACAGTAATTGCCAGTTTCAGCGTCTCTTGCTACAGTTACACCTAAATATCTAGGCATTTGGAAAGTTATTTCTGTTATTCTTCCACATATTCAATTAAATCAGGAAAATAGTTCAAAGAAATATTTTTCTATTTAATTATACAAAAATATTTCCATTAACAAACTTCAATATAATCAAAACTTTATTTGACTCTTAAAACTAAAACGAACGAGAGTTCAGTTAATATTTACTCATACAAAAAAAAATTTTTTTTTGTAACTTTTAGAAAGATGATCTTTCAACACATTTTCAAGATAAAATATTTTTTTTGTATGGCATAGGCATTTAAAAAATAATCAGTTTTAAGAAAACATAACCAGAAACTTTAAAAAAAAAGAAAATAAAAATAATTAAAAAGGAAATAAGGGAAAAAAATATGAAAATATCTTTATTCCCGCTTTAAAATATTTAACGAGAAAAATGTTCTATGGGGGGGGNGGGGGGAAAAATAAGCGATCTTCACAAGCCGATTGTTAGTTTGAATGCCAGGAAGTTCCACTGTCAAGATGAGCACACCTTTGATTTATTAGTGATGTGGGGGATACTCTTGCCAGCTGTGAAGCAAATGACCAAAGATAGCCCCCAACAAAATGGGTGAGTTCATTTGCGAATGTAAAACTAAGGATGCTTGGGTCGTTAAAGAAGTTAGATTCGACGCACCAGTAAAACCTTGTGGACTCACTTTCTAACCGAATCCAGAGTCGGTGTTATATGCTATTAAATAATGTTTTTCATGATTTCTCTAAGGGTGACTAATTCTTTGTCCGGTGTGCTTAGATTCATTTCACTGAAAAACTCTTAATAATCCTTTTCTTTAATACATAAAATTATTTATTTTGATTATTAAGCACTTTTTAAAAACACCCAATGAATAAAACACCTTTAAGGGCTTTTAAAATATGAAAAGAAGCACTTTTTAAAAATGCTACACACCATGCCAATAGGTTCCTTATTGAGCATATTCATAATTCGTTCCATGAAGATTGTAACTTAATACAAGAAAACTTGACATAAATTGAAATTTAGGGTATTCCTTACTTTTCCTGACTATATGAAGACGATAATACGAAATTCACTGATAAAACTAAAAGAATTTTCCGAATGAAAATAGATTCCGGCTTTTGAATAAGAGGGACTTTTTTTAAGCCCTCAAAAAATATTATTAAGCACTATATGCTTTAACAAAATGCAAATTAATTTTCAAAGATTTTATGTGATCATGATGAAAGGACTAGTTTTTGACTCTTTTCTTGATTATATTAGCCATTATAAAAAGATTGAGAAATTTTTCGGTCCACTTGTGAAATGTGAATCCTGAAATGGAGAATATCCTGAAAAATGCAGCACATGAGAGTGCAATAATCACACCGAACCCAGCTCAGTAGACACACTACAAGTATTACATCAAACAACAATTGGCGCTATCATATGTCACGGACTTATGGTACACCGAAATGGATTATGGTTGAATGAATTGTAAAAACGTTGAATTCGAACAATGTGAAAACCACGCTTTTGCATAATACGAGACAATAATCGACATGGTAAAGAAAAAAAAATCTCATTTTCGAAAAGAGAAAATTAAGAACTTTTTAAAAAAGCGTGAATTAGAACAAAAACAGAACAAATGAATCAGTTGTCCTCCCACTGGTAAAATGAGTGGCGGAAACTAAACAAAGCAAAGTTGGCAAAAATAAGATTTTCTTTTCATTTAAATCCAAACTTTTATTGAGTTTTTTTTTAACATTTAAATAAATTTTTGATAGAATAGTTATAATGTTCAAAATTATTTATTTCAAGACAGCATGACTTAAATACTTAATATTTCTAATAAAATATTTTTATAATTATAAGAAACTAATCATTGAATAAATAAAATCATAATTTTGTTCAAGCTAAACACCCTCATAAATTTCTGAATACCCGATTTGTAAGTTAGACAGACATAACTAAAATTAATTTAGATCAGTAAACATTAAAAAAAAATATTATTGACAGAAAAGTTCTTTTTTTCTTTCCTCATTAATTACATAAATTATTTAACCAGTTTTAAAAGAGCTTGTATTCAAATAAAATAAAACTAAGGAGACACAATAGATAGATGTTTTTTAAAAAAAACATATTTTTAAAATTTCATTAAACTTTTATAAAGAAAAAATTACTTTAAACGTTAAGCCTATGACTTCTAAAAATATAATATTAGGTAATGATTTAAAAAAAAAAAAATCAAATGATTGGGTGCATCGCCATATTATTCAACAAAAAATATGCACCTCTTAAACCCTTTAAAAAATATCATAATTAGGCAGGATTGGATAGTTTTTGACAATTGACAGTTTTCTCTTGTTTTAACCGTCATGTCAACAAAAAAAAAAAAACCTTTCGGCATTGTTTTTGACAATTGTCAAAAATCATGAAATTTTGAATCCTGTAAAACGAATGACGTTTTCATACGCTACGGACTGACAATATGCCGAAATAGATTGGGGTTGAATTAGTTGTGAAAACGTTTAATAGTACAATGTGAACTGTGTCTTTTAGCATAATTCAAAACGAAAATCAACATAGTAAAGGAAAAATCTCATTTGAAAAAGGGAAAATGAAGCACTTTTTAAAAACACCTAATTAAAAAAGTACCTTTAAGGATTTTTAAAAAACGAAAATAAGCACCTTTAAGCACTCTACGCACCCTGTTTAAACGTGAATCTACTTTCTGATTGGATTTAAGTTCTTTTACATGACAAAAATAAACCGCTTCTTTCACAATTCATTTATTTAACACAGTAGAAAGGAAAGAAATATAATAAAAACAACTCAATGAATATATTACAGTCAATTCATTTTTAAAAAATAAATTTACATCCTTTACTGATATCCACCACGGCTTCTACCTCTGTTCACGACACGGAACGGCGTTCGTCCGCCTCTGAAGGGAGCCCTCGGCCCACGACCTCGCATAAATCGAGGTGCGTCTTGCCGATACGAATGGGAAGGATAATCGTGAGGACCATCAAAGTCTCTCCTCGGTGGATAATGTTCTTCGGGAGGTTCTTCTCCCCAGGGACGCTTACGAGGATAATTGTCAGTCCTCATGTTTCTCGGTTCACGATATCTCCTGTCCTCAGGGTAATGTGGAGGACCACCTCTTGGTGGCAAATCTTCAGGGTCCTCTTCCATTGGAGGAAACCTTTCACTCCTGTTAGGTGGTCGCTCAAAACCGTGATGCATGTCAGGATGAATAGATGAGGATCCATTTTCATGCATATTTTCAGAAGGGACATCAGCGTCAGGATAAGGCCGCCAGTTTTCATGCGGGGGTGGATCATTTCTTGGATGATCGTGAGCAAACTTCTCATGATTTTCAGAGAAGTTATGTTTGGGCATACAATTTCCCATCAGCCCTTCTGGAATAGGTGGAGGAGGTAAAGGTGATGGCTCTAGAAGTGAGATTAAATTATGTAAACAAAGAATGAAATTAATTTACAAATTCAGAAAAAAGACAAAAAAAGTAAAATAATAAAGCGCTTCAAGCAGCTAAATCGAAATTTGTTTTATTTTAATATATTAAGTCTGAAAAACAATTCTAGCAGAAAACAGCGAAAATTATTTTAAGATATGTGTGTTAGCAGGACAGCACTTCATTAGGGGACTGCCTCTGTCAACCTTTCTGCTGTCGACTGGTGAAACTAACCAGAGGAATGGAAAAGCAATTAGAAAAAACATTTCAATATGGGGCACTGATAACAGAAACTTTTCCCCTAACACTATCCCGCATGCTGCTTTGAAAACAATCAGTAAGTTTATCCGGTATTCACTGTATAATTGACAAAAAACTATTAAATAAAAAATTTTAATATCTTGGTAGATTTAAAAACCAAATTTGGATTATCTTTTAAATTTAAGAGCTGCCAATTATGCCAATCAGGATAAAGGAAACAGCAGTTTTAATGTCATTGTTATAATTAAATGATGACTAACTTTCAAAAAGCATGTGGAAACATCCCAAGGATGTAATAAGAACAAGAGCTTTGAAAACTGAAACATCAATAATCAAACATCCTATAAATTTATTACTTGAACACTCTATTTGACCTTTAAACTTACTTTTATTACTATTAAAATATTTCAATTTTTAACATTGCTCAAGATTTATTTAATTTAGAATTAAAGTTTATTCAAAGTTATTATTTGAACTTTAACAAAATATAATGCACATAATTTATTTTTGTTTAAATGTGTATTTAAACAAAGATGCATAGAAAAGGGTTTGTATAATTTAAAATTGTTTGATTATTATACATGGTAATATAATTAGTTTTATTTCATACTTTATTTATTTATATTTTAATAATTTCACTTATAAAGAAGTGATAAGGTAAGTAGTTTGAACTAATGTTTATATAACATATTATTTTATGAATTAAATTAATATATTTGACATTTATATATTTACATTTTCTAATATTTTTTAAAGATATTTCACATTTGAGAAATATAACTTTGATTAACTTATTGAAATATTTAATTTGTAATTTACTGAGAGCAGGGTTGCGACAGAAAAAATTGCAAAAAAATAGTTGCTTTTAGTAGCCAAAAGCATGAAAATAGTTGCCGAAAACTATGAAAATAGTTGCCTAAATAAGAACAAAAATAAGACTAAAATTTTATTAAATGACTTAATTGTCATATACCATGATCCATTTAGTCAAGTTGGTGGCAAATATGATAATTTTTATATAAACGTTGATGAGTATATTTGCAAAAAATTAAATACTTTTAATTACTAGAATTCATTAAAAAAATACTTTTTTCATTAAAAATAAAAACACACTTATTCGAAGAAATTTTCCCTTTTATCAATAATTAATTTAGCAAATATATATATGTATATATACAGTCAAACCCCGCTATACTGAACACGGTTTATAATGAACTCCCGAATATAGTGAATGAAATATTCGGTCCCGTGCCTTGCTATACCTGTATAATGTTATTTTTTGTGGATATAGTGAACCAAAAAAGTGATGAGGTTGGATATAATGAACTTTTTTCTGTCTGCGACTGATTTCTTTCTTTATTGTTTTGAAATAATTTTAATATTTCTACTTCAGAATAAATACATATACCGATTTTTAAAACCATCTATAGAAGGAAAGGTACTCCTTTTTGCTCTCAGTTCAGTTAAAAAAAAAACTGCAAACAAGTGTCTCAAATTTAACTATGGCGAGCAGTAAAAGTAAAATGTTCTTCATTGATGATAAAATGGGCATAATCAGGAAAATTGAAAATGGATGTAATCAAGCTGATATTTGCAGGAAATATAAACTATCCAAATCCACATTTTGTAACGTATGGAAAAATAGGCAATAAACAATTTCTGCTCATGAAAAAAATTTAAATGGCAGAAAAAAGTTGAGAAAAGCAGATCACAAGGATGTTGAAGGAACAACATTACAAGGATGTGGTTTAGCATTCAAAGAAGCCGCAATCTTCCAGTATCTGTACAAATGTCCATGAATTTGCTGAGCGATTTTATGAGACTACTTTTATGTTCTCGAATGGCAGGTTAGACAGGTTTAAAAAGCAGAATAACAGAAATTCAGGAAAAATTATCTGAGAGTCGGGAAGTGTTTCCATATCTGAAGTTGATGATTGCTCATCAGCTAAAGATTACAAATTTTTCTTTGTACGCAGGACAAAGAGTAATAAAAGATAACACATTTTTTGCTACTACATAATATTTTTCAGTCATTTATTTGAATAATGTGTAATAAAAGGGAGGAGTTTGGGAGCCATTAGTTAAATTGCCCGCTTTACGGATATAGTGAACTCCCGGTTATAGTGAACCAAAATTTCGGTCCATTGAAGGTTCACTATAGCGAGGGGTTTGACTGTATATATATTGTGAAAAGTGAATACTCAAATTCAACATTCATGCATCGTAATATCGTATAAAAAATTTTGTTTTTTAAAATCGTGCAGAATTTCGCTGCAAAAACTGTTGAAAAGGCGACCGAGAAACGAAATAGACTTACGATAGAATCTGTGCAAATTGAACGCATTAAAAAGTGATAACTCAAGTTTGCAATCTAAAATTTTTCATTTTTTAATGTTTTCTTGCAATCCATTTAAGTTTAATAGTTCTACCTTACCATTCAAAAATCATTCTCAAAGTTGTAAGATTTTGAATAAATTTGAGCTTAAAGTCAGGGTACGTAGCCAAATATTTCAAAAAAAAAAAATAAAAATAAGCACCTTTTAAGTACATCTTAAGCACTCAAAAAATATTTGTAAGAACTTTGATAAAAATATTATAAATAGGATATGCGCACTCATTATTTTTTTCCTTCATATTGTTGAAAGTTCTTCATATCTATAGGTTAACAAAATGCAAAATAAATTTCACAATTTTAAATACATTCAATATTGAGTGAATCATTCAGTTTTTCAAATTTATAATTACTTCACACAATTATGTAAAAAATTATTCAAAATTATAAATAATTAATTTAACTATTATCTAAAAAGATTATCTCTCTTGCAAAATGCAGCAGATTATCTCTCTTGTAAAATGCTCATGAGAATGCATGAATCCTTCCCACCGAATCCAGCTCAGTATTCGAGCCCGCAAATATTTCATAAAAAGCGTTTTCATACGCTACAGACCAATGGTATGTCGAAATAGATTGTGGTTGATTGAATTATTAAAAAGTTGAATAGAACAATGTGAAAAACACGCTTTTTTAGAAATTCGAAGCAAAAATAGATGGTAAAGAAAAAAAGTCTCATTTTGGAAAAGGGAAAATTAAGCACTTTTTAAAAACACCCAAAGAAAAAAGCACCGTTAAGGGCTTTTAAAAAACAAAAGTCGAAAATAAGCACCTTTAAGCTCTTTTTAAAAACGCTATGCACCCTGTGTAAATAAACTAAATTTCGCAAGCTATTATTTATATTCATAGCTGTTTTATTTACCAAATTTCATGTCAATGGGGCTTTGCATAGATTGCACAAACTAAACTTACCCTTAAACTTCAATTTAAATAACACGAAGGATATGTCCAAAAAAGAAACATGAATTAATCTTCCATCGCTCAGCATAGTTAGAATTCAAATCACAGGTTTGAGTTTTCTTTTGCAAAAATCATTCAGCAGTATTCTTAATTTATCAAACTTGATTTCCGGGAATCATTTCATAATTTGAAAAATTCTAATGAAAAAATCTTTCTAGTTTGTTAATCTATTCTAATTTAATCTCTTCCCCTAACATCTGCTTCTTATCTCCATTCTATGATTATCTAGCTCAAACTTGTTCTTTTGTCCCTATTGGTTGAACCACTTTGTATGTGCTAGAAATAACAAAAACTATTCAAGCACACCATGAAATATGATTCTATAGAGGATACGACACCAACCAACTTTGTATGTGAAAAGTCTCTTTACTTTTAGACTATTTGGTGCTTACATGCTGAGAAAGGTTCTTGTTTGAAGAACTGAGAAACTACAGAATGTCTATTTCATTTCTGCTTCGATCCTGTGTGTGACAAAAATGTTTATTACCTGAAGGTCTTTCACCCAGAAGGACATTACGTGGTGGTGGGACCCTATGAGAAGGTTCTGCAAATTGAGGAGCTCTTTGATTTTGCGGAAAATGTTCAGGAGGCATCATTTGAGGGGGTTGCATCATTGGGGGAGGTGGCAACATTTGAGACTGCTGCATCATCTGTGGTGGGGGCTGCATCATCTGAGATTGGGGATTGGCTTCAGGAGAAATTTGTATCTCACCTACAACACAATTCTAAATTATTAAAAAAGAGGAAAAAAAATAGTAAGTTTATTCTACAATGGAAAAGAACCTGTATTGTGATTGCTTTATATAATGCAGTTTAGCATGATAAAGAAACAATTCAATAATTTAAAATAGCTAAAAAAAAAGTTAAAAAAAAAAGGCATTAATAGATGCTGAACTAGAATAAATTTTCAAGCAATTAGGAACTACCAAGTATAATCAATGGAACAATAATGAAAACTTCTTTAATTGAATTATCGTCTGGTTTCAAGTGATTTTTGATACAAAGTAGCAATAATTTGGTAAAAAAAAGTCACATTACTTAGATTTAAAAAGAATACTGGTTGACCCTCAAGTAAACAGATTTTACAACCAACTTCTTAATCTATCGTTTGCTAAAGATTTGTAAACATTATGATCTCAAAGTTACGAATATTCAATATCTCATAAGTAAATTCATCATCTCTCAATATGAACAATGTGCATGCATCAAAAAATAAAAAAAAGTCTTTATTAATAAGTTAGTTTTCAGAATTTTCAAAAAGATCAATTTTGGACTCTTCCTTTTCTTTTTGGTATTAGGATAGCATAATGAATATAAAAATTCCTTTGGTATTATCAAATTATATGTGATGACTTTTAAAAATTATTTTATGTTAAGTTTCAAAAGATAAAACGGTACATTTATTCCAATTTTTAGTAATTCTCATAGGTTTAAAAATAAGTTAAATAAGATGAATTGGTCATTTAAACAAAAAGTCTCCTGATTGGGTATTTTAAATAAATTGATAAATAAAATGGATAAACAAAAATTTATAAAGCTCTACATAAGTTTTTAAATGTTATTGTGGTGTGATCATGGGATCACCACAATGTTTACTTTTCCTACTGGGCTGTCTCCAAAAGGAGCGCCCTCTTCATTGCCTTTGCAGGATCTCTAGGGCTCGACTCATAGCTCGTCTTTAGAGATTCTTGCAACCGCTAGGGAGGGGACGCTATCTTTTGGAGATAGACCAGTATTCCCCGTGGATCTCGAATAGTTGGTTGCTTTCTTAAGCAGCAGGATAATTTTTGTTTTTTATCCCCCTGTGTGCTCTAGAGTTTAATCATTGATTTTTACCATAATAAGTTTTTCCTTATCTCCTAATTATTTGATGCATCAGGTAAATTCAGCAAGAAAACAATTATTATTCAAATGACTTAAATTAAATTACTATCTACTCCCTGGAGCACACAGGGAGGATCCAGCATGCACGTGGTGCAGTTAGGCTCTTGTGCACTAATGAGCCGCTTACTGAAATGAACATGTTTCTCAAAACCGAAATGAAATAGAAATGTTGAATAAAATGCCTTCGTCTACAAAAATCTGCGTTTTTCATTTGAATGGAGATATACTACATCTAGCACAAGCAGATGGCGAATGATCCTCACCACATGGCCCTTCCATCAACCACACCTCCCGACAAAATAGTTATAATAAGAAGAAATAAAAACATAAAACTTTCCATTTGTAAACTTTCAAGATATTTGAAATAAAAACTGCATTTTTAAATCAAAATAATCACTTCTTACGAAAATTTTAAGGAAATTATATTGATTCAAGTATATTTTCTATACAGTCATACACCAATAAAACAACTAACAAGAAAATACTTTCTAATCATTGTTATCCAGAAATTGTTTTGTAGAATTTCATATTTATAATCAAAATTTAAAACATACAGTCACAATTTGTATGAAGAAAAAAAAAAGATTGTAAAAGAATTTGCAAAATTATTTGACACATACTGTACATAAAATTAGTAAGCCATGTACTTACAGACAAACCCCATTATAGTGAATTCCCGGCTATAGTGAACAAAATGTTCGCTCCCGTGCCTTGCTATTCAAATATATTATTTTTTGTGGATATAATGAACCAAAAGAAGGGAGGAAATTGGATGCGATAAACATCTGTCTCCGACAGACTTTTTTCTTCATTTTTTGGTAATTTTGAAATTTCTGCAATAAATACATATACTGAATTTTAAATTCATCTATTGAGAGGAATGTAGCCTTGCTTCTTCAGTTTCCCATCCCTCAATAAAGGACATCTCTAAATTTTTTTTGTACGCAAGACGAAGAGNAGAGTAAAAAAAAATTCCCTGATAATTCCAGGTTTTCAAGGTTTTCCAGGTGGGTGGCCACCCTGGTCATAAAAAATATCACACTTTTAGTTACTACATATTGTTTTTTAATCATTTCTGTATTTCTTTTTATGGGTCATTTATTTAAATAATGTGTCATAAAAGGGAACAGTTCGGAAAAATGAGTTAAAATTGTTCGTAGTACGAACATAGGGAACTCCCGGTTATAGTGAATCAAAATTTCGGCCCTTTGAAGGTTCACTATGTTTGACTGTAGTAAGCTTTTCCAGTACAAAAATAAGAATTTTTGCTTTTCTTGTTATTTGATTTTTTTTAAAAAAAAAAAAAGAGTTCATACCATTATTTCGATCTTCTTGAGGAGGGGCTAGCAACAGAGGCTGTTTACTTTCCATCCATTGTTGCTGAAACTGTTTAGGAATGGGTTTAGAAAATGGAATTTTCTTCTGAGTTGTGCTCTTTTCACTGGCTTGCTCTTCTGATGCAAAATCTAGTCCAGGAATTATTGGTATCTCATCATCATATCCCCTCTCTGTAATAGAAAACATCCCTCACCAAATCAACTTTGTTAAAAAATAATAATAAAAGCCAAAAAAAATTAATAAATGAACAAAATAAAAAAGTAAATCACATTAGAGCAATTATGAATGTCTTATTTTCTAATTTCAAAAGCACATAATTCAGTTAAAAAAAGAAAAAAAAATCTTAATTTTTATAAAATTAACCCTTGGTATCCTTTACAGTTATTTAAATTTTTAGTATTTTTCATGGGTTTAAAAATGAAACACTGGATGTTACAGACGTAACACAGTGCTACGTCTGAAAAGGTCAGTTTTAAAAAAAATTAAATTATGAGAAGATTAGAGTAAAGCTTAAACATTAGAGTAAGGTAAAATTATGCCAAAATTTCAATTTTCCAAAAATTATTCAAGCTACTTCATTTTTTAAGATGAAATTCTTGAATTTTAAGTCTACAAATGATATTTATAAATAGAATTGTTCACCAGCTAGTGCAAGGCATTTTGTTAAAGAAAAATAAATAAAGGGACTTCGATCAGTAAAAAATTAGGAACAAGTAAAATATGAATGAAACATAAATAAATGTACAGAAATCACTCAGTATTGGTGTATTATTCTCAATTTGTTTGAAATATAGACTGAAGGTATGATAATGATAATTTTTTCCTTCACAGGGCATCATGCTTTTTTTCTTTTAAATCATTTTTTATGAACAATGAATGATATATATTTCATTTTATGAGAACTTTACTTGAGATTTAAGAATCTTCTTATTAAATTTGAGTAAATTATGCTCTTCAACCTTGTTGTTTAAAATAACCAACAAAAAAACAAGCTTTGTTGTTGAACAGATTTTTCAGGATGTTATGGGTTGCTCTTTTTTTCAATACTAAGACTCAAAAAGTACTTGATAATACAATGTATTTCTGATGTTTTTGAATATAGTAACTAAAAATTAATAAACTCTTACTTATTTTTTATCAGGTATCTAGTTACATTCTATTTTATTCATAAAATAACATTTATTTATTTATTATTATATTTATAAAGACAAGCTAAAATGAATATATTTTTTTTGAAGTAGTCAATATAAAACCTTTTTTTAAAAAATTTAAAGATATATATATATACAGGGTGTTCCAAAATTCTCTTTACAACTTCAAAAATTCATAACTTCGAAAATAAACAAGATATTTATATTGTCTTTTGCATGTACTACTGCAACTAATAAAGTTTTGTTTAGTACACTTCAACATGCGCACCATTGGTGGCCCTAAGCACTTCCAGTCTGTAATCAATTTCAAGCCAGGTGATGTAAAGATAATTTTGGAACACCCTGCATATTTTTCAGATAATTTCTGATGGTTTTATGAAGGCTTTTTCGCACTGTTTAAGTACATTTTGTGATTTTTTTTTAGTAGTCAGCATCCTAGCCCTGATTATAACATTATCATTTGACATAACCTATGACAAATTAACATTTTTTTTTAATAGCAAGCAATAGTAATAATATTACAGGTAATAAGTAAAATTTTAAACAACAATACAGATCATAAGTTGCTAGTTACAATTTTAAACTTAATCACAGAAGTTAAGTGTGTAAAACTTTTTTTTTAAAAATACATTATGAAAATTTCAATTTATTTTAACGAGAAATCATGCTTATAAGATATTAAGTTGCTTATAAGAGAAATAATATTGTTTGTGGATTAGAAAAAAAATTTAAAATATTAATAATAGAAATAATGTATTGTAATTCTTCACAATTAATATAAAAAGTAAAGCAATAACTATTCTTACGAAATAAAGCAATAACTATTCTATTCTTAGTGACTNAATAATATTACAGGTAATAAGTAAAATTTTAAACAACAATATAGATCATAAGTTGCTAGTTACAATTTTAAAGCACTTCCAGTCTGTAATCAATTTCAAGCCAGGTGATGTAAAGATAATTTTGGAACACCCTGTATATTTTTCAGATAATTTCTGATGGTTTTATGAGGGCTTTTTCGCACTGTTTAAGTACATTTTGTGATTTTTTTTTAGTAGTCAGCATCCTAGCCCTGATTATAACATTATCATTTGACATAACCTATGTCAAATTAACAATTTTTTTTAATAGCAGGCAATAGTAATAATATTACAGGTAATAAGTAAAATTTTAAACAACAATATAGATCATAAGTTGCTAGTTACAATTTTAAACTTAATCACAGAAGTTAAGTGTGTAAAACTTTTTTTTAAAAAATACATTATGAAAATTTCAATTTATTTTAACGAGAAATTATGCTTAAAAGAGAAATAATATTGTTTGTGGATTAGAAAAAAAATTAAAAATATTAATAATAGAAATAATGTATTGTAATTCTTCACAATTAATATAAAAAGTAAAGCAATAACTATTCTTACGAAATAAAGCAATAACTATTCTATTCTTAGTGACTATTCCATGAGTCATTAAGAATAGAATAAAGCAATATTCTATTCTTAGTGACTCATGGAAAGTCATTACACTTTTAATTTCTTACCTGATGGCTTTAATAGCTCAGCTACACCGTGCTCCAGCCCCATTCCAGGAATAGATGATATTGTTCCAGAATCATCTAAAGTAAAGTAAAGAAATAAATGTTATTGAAGTGCTATACTTTATATTTTACAAGAAACAAAAATTAAATTATCATGAAACAAATACAGTACCTATATTTCTGAAAAATATGTTGATTAGGACTGGGCTATAAATCGATACATCGCGACATATCGATTTAACGCCTGTATCGGCAGGCCGATACAGCGACTTTCGTTCCAGGTGATGCATCAGAAATCTGATTTAAGCCGTTGAGTAAAGAAGACGAACAATATAGTGATATATGATATAGCGATACAAGACAAGCAAGGATCTCTTACGTTCCGATGCCAACTCGCGCTGGGGAAGACGATGTACATATCTTTATATTGAAATGGCCTTGATTGATGAGCGGTAGAATCAGAATCAGTTTTGAGAACATATATCGTGATCTCGCATGCTCGTTTCCGCACCTCTTAGTTTTTTTCTCTTCTTTGTTGCGACTTGATATTGTTTCTTGTAGATTATTTTCAGTGGGACTGACTTAGTGATCGTTACCTTGTTCTGAACGTAATCTATTATTGAAAAAAATATATAAAGAAGTGTTTCTTAATTAATTAGGTAAATTTTTTTTTTGAAAAACTTTCTTTTTCATTTTTAAATGTGAAAATTAATTTTGATATTATATGTTCAAGTATTATTTTACATTATTGAATTTACTACAAACGGAAATCTAATTTAAGGTGCCCATAAAGAATTAAATTAAAAAGTAATTAAATTTGTTAGGCTATTTTTTACTTTATTTTAATTTATTAAAAACTTTTTGGATAAAATAATAATTTAATGGGTTTTTATTACTGAGTTTAAATTTATAAATCTATAGTTGTTTTCATTTTCATAAATAAAATTATAAGAAAACTTATTTTTCCTCTTTTGGATTTGGACATAAGTCAATCAACTTTGTTTATTGAAAAAAATTAGTAATGTTTGCGATTGCGACTTCTTTTTTTAAAATCATTTAGCACTTCGTCTTATTAAAGAGTATAATCGTGTTTTTTTATTTTCTTTCAATATTGTCAGTTGATTATTTAATCGAATATCATAATTCTTTTGTTTTTATTTTTAAGAAATTAAACCTTACTTTGTTTTTTCGTTCAGAATTCGGTAATTATTCAATTTAACTTTATTATTTATGTGAAATAATAATGATAAAAAATAGTGTTGTTTTAAAAGTGTTTTTTTTTGTTTAATTTTTTTAGCACTTTGCTTTAAGCACACAAATAATTTTTAACGAACCTATTTTTTAAAGTTTTTTTCTATATTGTTAGGCAAATATATTGATAAATTTCAATTTCATTTATTTTTAAACTAAGAAATCTTTCGTTATTTGCGCGATCATCTTTTAGAAAATATAACATTAATATCTTTCTTAAGCAAAACATATACATCAAATTCAGAATTTGATTTAAATCAATCTGAGTATGAAGTTTTGATAGAAATCCGACTTTCTGCGCCTTACAAGTAAATGAATTTCAAAAATAACATATCGCGATACATCGCTATGCAAAACTGACAATGCATCACGATATAAAATTTCTTATATCGCCCAGTCCTAATGTTGATAGAGCTATTTCTTTAAAAATCATTTTATTAAAATTTGTGAAGATACCAAAAATGATTAAATAATAATAATAACTGATTCTATAGCCATTTAAGTATGTTTCTGAAAAGAGAACAATGTTGTCAAAGAAGTAAAATAATTTCTAATTAAATAGATGTAAGATAATACCCTAAATAATAGAAAAGAACATAAACAGAAAAAAATATATACAAAAAAAAAGTTTGTTTTCATAGTTAACACAGCAATACATTGTTATGTGCAACCAAAACTAATTTGAACTAAATCGAATATTTTTAAAGGGTCAAAAAAAGATTCAGAAATAATATTATGCATAAAAAAGTAATTTGATTTTTTAATTACCGTAATCCGCACAATCTTCTTGGCCTTTAGGTAGAGTGTTCAAATTATACTTATCTCTCATTCGATCACCAGGACGATTTCTGGTCCAAAATTTACTAAAAGAAGGGAGAAAAAAAACTCAAGTTGATGCAAATTAATTCCAAGATAATAATAATTATTATTATGATTCAATGTGTCAAGAGTTGTCCGTTTATTAGGATCTTTCCTGCTCAGGTTTCCTTGAACAATTTCTCTATATCATCCGAAGGAGATGTCTTTTGTTTCTTGGCAAGTTGAGCGATCCCTACTGAAACTACCTCAGGGCATGCAGAGCCCACAGAAATGTTAAAACATGTCATAACTGTTTAAAGTCATAAAATAAATCATTTTTAACAAATCCAAAATCCTTCTTATTCAAATTATGTCACTATTTAAAAAAATATTGTGAAAAATAAAAAGTTAATTTTTGAACAAGAAGCAGTTTGAACAAGCTTTTGTTTTATTTAAAAAGTTTATTATTGTTTTTAATGTTGCATTTATTTATTCTTATGCAAAAATATAATCAGGGTGGTCACTCAAATCAGATTTACCCTTATTTAGCCAGCAAAAATCTTATAATTTCCAGGTCAGAGCGTTATTTTTTTATCATAAAGTATAGGTAGGTACAAGAAAAGTGTCAATATTATTTAAAATGTCATTTTTAATATATCATATTAATTAGATGTGGAGAAAATAATATGTTTAGCTTGGAGAATATATTGTTTTTAATGAATAAAAATTGTTTTTAAGTGTTAAATAGTTTTTATACAAAATATACCAAATAGAAAATACAGAGAGACCCAAAAAACCTTGGATAAGTAATGTTTAATATATTTTCCTTAAGCAAGAGAAAATAACTCTGGGTGATTACACATCAGTAAATCAGGTTTCAAATTTCCCAGATTTTTCTACATTTTCCAGTAAAAATCGTAAAATTCCCAGGTCAATGTGTTTTTTTCCTCGTGAAGTTTAGGTGGGTAGAAGAAAAGTGTCAATATTATGAAGTATTTTATTTACTTAATATATTATTGAATAGACGCGGAAAAAATAATATGTTTAGCTTGTAGAATATATTGCTTTTAATGAAGTAGTTTTTGCACAACAAAATAGTAGATACAGAATGACCCAAAAAATCCTTGAACTGCTTAATGTATTTTCATTAATCAAAAGAAAATAATTGCAGGTGATCAATAATTTTTTTTATTTATTTCCATTTAGAAGTATTTCATACTGTATTTTATTCAAGCAGTGCTCTTTATAAATTCATTGATATAATTTCCTTTAAACCAGAAGCCCTTCATTTAACAGTCTATAACTTATTAAAAACTGATAATTTATAAGTCAAACGTCATTATTTCGCAATTTTTTACTTTGAAAATGATACCTTGCTTACTTAATATAAAGTTTAAAATTTTGGTCATCTGGTTGCCCAACTTAAAACATGTACATGAACAGAGCAGAACAAAAAAACAAAGGTTCGTTTTCCTTCTTTCTAATAAGCAAATAAAAATAATTTCTTTTATATTCAAAGTTTATACATCATTTGACATGTTTACCATACATTCCTTGTTTTTTCCCCAGCTTTTTAAGGTAAAAGGAAAAACGATTTTGAAAATATCATTTCTGGAATGCAAGCAACATTTATGAACTTTCGACATTGTGATTAAAAAACAATTCGAATTTTGAATCAAAAATCAAATATTTACCAACAAAACAGTAAAATTTAAGGTTATATCTAGTTGGTTTGTAAAAAAAGCTTCGTTTTTTAAAAGTAAAATATATTATAAAAGGCTAAAATGAAATCCAGAAAATTAGCATCAATGCAACATTGTAATGATTTTGCCATTGTAATGATTTTGTCATGAACGAATCAAGAATATGAGTGATTGGTAGGCTTTGCTAAGAAAANTGGCAGAAATAATTCATTGGATAGGAGAACAAAAGATTTCAGAAAAAAAGTGTAAGATAAAATCTATTATTAAATTATAACCAATTATTTTGTGGAGAATTTTATAAAGTTAAAAATACTAAAACATTTTGAATAAATTTGCTAACATAAAAAATACTTCCAAAGCATCAGAACAAACTTTAACAATAAATGAATTCAGCCCACGGACTAGAAGATAAAAAAAACCTACTTATATAAAAAGAAGCCAATATCCTAATCCTTTCTTTCACCTCCACCACAATTTTTGCCTTTTTTAAACTGTCTAGTCCCACAATCTCCAAAAGGGTCAAAGATTTCTCCATTCATTTAGCAACATGGGAGAGTTTCATATGGCAGTCTAGTTTAGCAGGATAATAATGGTGAGAATTTTAATGCAAGCAAACTATTGCTAAGTTGATGATGTCTCAACTGTTTGACAATAAATTTCCATCCAAATAAAGTGGATAGAAAGGATGGTAAAATAATTTAAATTAAGAAAAAAAATTCCAGCTCATCTTTGAAATTCCCTGATTTTTCCAGGTTTTTATCCGAATTTCCCTGTTTTCTCCAGAATAAAAAAATTCCCTGATAATTCCAGGTTTTCAAGGTTTTCCAGGTGGGTGGCCACCCGGTAAATTTTTATATTTATTTACATTTCAATATAGAGCCATTTTATACAGCATTTTATCCAAACAGTGCTCTTCATAAAATTCATTGATATAATTTTCTTTACACCAATATCTTAAGTAAAATGATTAAATAATGTCGTTTGTTTTAAATTAGCACTATTATTTTAAGAGATATTCAGTATTCGCAAAGGCAAAATTGTCAAATTTCTTGCTGCATATTCTATAGATAAACGCTAGATAAAATTCCTTAAACATTTTTTTCTTATTAGAAATTAGAATATTGAAAGAATTCCAATCTAACCACATAGTTTTTTTTGTTTAGATTATTTAATTGTTTTTACAATTGGACAATTCCATGGTGTCAGATATAAGAAATTAACATGAATTTCTTAGAAAAACTATCTTATAAAACATAAGTTACAATCATCAAACTTTTATATGAAATATTATTACATCATAACCAATCGAAAAACAATTTATTTTATAAAAACTGATTGTAATAACTTCAAATTAAATGGATTAAATCGAGGGTGTTGGATTTAAATCATGGGTGTCGGCCAGAGAGCAAAAAAAGATTACTCATTTAATTGACTGATAATTGTCTGAACTCTGAGAATTTATTTGTAATTTGAAGGTATAGTTTGTAATTAAGGTAGGTATTCACTTTTGTTGTTCAATGAATTATAAAGCTTCAAAAGTTATAAATCTTTTCTTATATTATTTACCGTTAAAAAGTTAAAGCAAATTGTATAAAAAGTATCAAATATTTATTAATATATGTGATTATTATATGTACAATGGTTACACACATAAAATTTTTACCGTTTACTAATGTTCAAGGTCTTGGACACTTTAAGACAGTTTTAGTCAGTTTAGGACAGTAAAACCCACATGTCATGTCCAAAACCCCAACCCTGTTTTTCAACCACGCATAATTTTTAAAAAAATTGAGACGGTAACCAGTTGCAGTCATAACTTTGAAAACCATGAAAGATAATTTAAATAATAAAATCTTTAAAAAAAATAAAGGAATAACAAGTGAAACAAAAATTGAAAAGGTATGATTCATTTCGATTTTTGAACAAGAAGCAGTTTGNAAGATAATTTAAATAATAAAATTTTTTAAAAAAATAAAGGAAGTGAAACAAAAATTGAAAAGGTATGATTCATTTCGTCAAACTTATCAGTTATTAAAACATCTTTCAATGCACATAACGAGTTTAAAAGTCCCATAGTGCTGTGTCATTCTAAACTCTTTCAATTATTACACTTCATTTAATTAAATTTAATTACTAAACAGAGTGAAGCATTTTTAAAGACATTAGGACTTAACATAAAAACTCACCCACATTAATTTGTTTTACAAGGAAAGCAATGATATGTCAACAAAGTAAGAATTGAGTACTTCATCCCTACGTAGAAAAATAGATTTTGTGTGCCTTTTTAAGTTTTCCTGGTGGTTAACTATTCAAATTATTGGTTATGATAATAAATTACTATTTGTAGTAAGAAAAACAAAATACACTCTTTATACAAATATTTCTTTAAATAAAAAAGGCAATGTTGTTCATACTTATTTTTTTTAACTTTTTCCCTGATTATCCCGAGTTTACTCGGGTATGTATATATTTCAAATATTTATTATCCCGAGAAAACTCGGGTGTAGCAGAATTGTGTCTATACATTTTGTTTTATCAAGTTTTTACTCAGTCGGAAGCAAAAATCTTAATCTGCTGTGATTGGAAGTTTGCCAAGTTTTGTCTGGGAGTTTTGCTGTTGGATTGTAGGACTGCACATACGTTTTCTACGATTGCATATACAATGATTGCTGAATGTTGTTGTTGTCGTTTGACAAGTGCAAAAAAGTACAAGTCAAATGGAACCGAAGGCATGGAGCACAACCCTGGTCACATCTCCTACTTTTTCGGAATAAAGGGGGCCATGGCAGCAGTTGAGGTCGATGTTAAAGAGGGTCGAGGCAACAGAGACACAGTTGAAGAGATGCCTCGGATCCAGCTGAGCACCCGGGTGGCTAACATTTAACTTTTTTTATTTGCCCGAAATATTTTGGGATAGTAAACCTGACGGTAAATTAAATATTTTCTGCACAGAAAATTTTTTACTTTCTACGTAAAACTTATGTTTTGTTTCAGCTCCTTGTATTTAATAATTAAATTAAAAAATATATTTTTTACAAAACAATTGATAAGGGAAGTTGTAAATTGTATTACTTTACAGTAATACAATTTACGAAAGATTATGAAGGGTGAGGATATGCATAAAGACAACACTGATCCTTTCAAATTGCTTACAGTTACTTTATGGGCTTTTATTTTTCAGATTATTCAAAGATCTCATTGGCAAGTGAAAAACATCTCTTAGGAAACAAACACAGGTTTTGATAATAATGGCAACAGTGCTGAAACAAACCCTAGTGAAAGTCTCAGGCTGGCATGGAAATAAGAAAGAGACCATTTCTGAAAGGGGAGATTTGAAAAAATGACCCCATCCCTATTCAAAGTTTATCTGTAGGGTAAAAGCTACAATAACCGCCAGCAGGGATTAAGCCTCTGAAGTTCTTGTGAAAGTCGAACAGCATGGTTATCGGCAGCTCCGTGGCAGAGTCGCGGTAACACAGCAACACTGTCGCAGAATGTTACTGAGTTCTGGGAGAAAGAGTTTTCTTTTAGGAAGTAAAGAATTTTGGTTTTCTTTTCAACAGAAATGTTTTATCTCTAAAATTATATTTAAAAGATGCCTTTTTCACACATCAGAGGTGAACAAAATGTTCGCGATTTTTCTATTTTAATTTGAGAAGAATGAAAAATATTGAATAATGCAGTAAAAAAATTTCTCTTCAGGAGAAATGTTGAAAGATTTTTGTTCTCCAGGAATCATTCTTTGACACGCTCATTTTGCTTCGAAATTCTCGTTCAATCATTCTTAAGACAGTTATAGTTACAAATTTCTGCTCTGTTTTTTCAAAATCCCTATGTTTTTCATCGCTCAGTTATTATTTCTATTCTTGTGAAATATACCGATATTATTAATTCGAAACGCGGATTCAAGAAATCATTCTTTGACACTTTCTTTCTGAGCTGATAATCTCTTTAAACCGAGCGGTATATTTAATTTGTGTGATTTTGCTGTCGATCTTTCTTCGTTAGTCACTGTTACGGATTGCACGTTTTTAAATTTTTTTTTTTGATTTGATGATTTACGAAAAGCAAAAGAAGGAAATAACGAGTGTGTTTTCTTGTTTAGTAAAATGTGAGAATCTCGCCCATAATATTAGAATAAAAAAATATTACATTTTCATTTAAAAATTAAATAAAATTTTATTTTATTCAAATAGCCTTTTTTCGTAAACACAATGGTTTTCTTACTTAAACTTAGTTAGTAACATGCATATTTGTTATTATTAAAAGCATCTTCCAGAAAGATATTAGTGCTAGAGAGGTTTGTCATAGAAAATCCAAAAAATTCTGCCACTGGGATCGGCAGTGTATCTTACCCTCACCTACAAAGACAGAACAAAAAAAAAAATTTAAGAACTGTTCCATATAGATATGAAACAAGGTTCTCTCGATAAAAAAGTTTGTGTGACATTGTAGGGAAAAAAAGATTTTGATCCGTCAATAGAAAAACACATAAAACGTGATTTTGGATAAAGGGACAACGCAAAATCCAGATATTTTAACATTATCTGTATAGGCAGTATTCACTGACCAACAGAAAACGTCGTAAGAAGCGGATAACATAAGAAACGGACCATAAGAACGGGGTTTCACTCTGCGTAAATATATATACACATATAATTCGGCACTCGCGGGACCGAGGAAATTCCGTATCTCTTTCGGAAATTCCAATATGGTGCCCATATATTACGATAATTCAATTATACTGTTTATTTCAGAAAAACTAATAAATTTAGTTAAGTTTTGATCATAGATTATGATGGGGTGAATTTAAAATTGTCCCATCTTAAGAAATTTTATTAATTAAAATAATAATCTATATAATATAATCAAGAAGAAATAATCCGAATCCTCTGAAGAAGAAATAATCGTTTCTTCTTTGGAGCGAGATCATAGTTCTCGTTTTTTCTTTTAGATAACATTTTGTTTTAACAAAAGACGCTTACCTCGCAAGAAAAAAAAAAA